CCGCCCCGGCTCCCCCAGCCAGGGCAGCAGGGGCAGCACAAAACATAGGCAGCGTGGGAAAGGAAGAAGGAGGGCCCTGGGAACCCACCCACCCCCCACCCCCCGCCCTCACCCTGCACGCTCATGTAGCTCATGATCTTGGCAATCCGCTCCAGCACGCCGCCATCCAGGCCGCCCAGAGCCATCTCCCGCACCTGTGGACGGTCCCGGAGGGCGGCGGGGCGGCGGTGCGGTGAGTGTGGCGGAACGGGCCCCCCGCGCAACGGCACGGCGCTCGGGCGGCGGCGGCGGGCGAGACAGGCGCAGCCCAGGCGGGCAGCGGCTGCTGGCGCGAACGGGCGCAGCAGCAGCAGGGTCGGCGGCGCCAGGTGGCCAGAGGCAGGATTAGGGTTAAGCAGGAAAAACAATAGGACGGGGACAACCATAGAGGCGGGCCGCGGCGGCGCGCCTTGGGGCAGTCCTCCCTCGAGCGGCGCAGGGTGGTTGGGATGTCGGGGGCGCCCGCCTCCTCCAGCTCGTACACAAAGGCGGTACGCCTGCAGTACCATTGTGCCGCACAGCGCCATGTCTTCAGTACACACCAGCAGGCACGCCAGGGCGGCACAGCCGGGCAAGGGAGAGTGCGGCGGCAGGCAGGTGGGAGGGCAGGGCAGGCGGCAGCGGGTGCCAGTTGCGATTGCTCGTCATGTTTCCAGTTTGCACATCCGCACCACGCCCCCGCCCGCCCACCTGGGGAGGAAGAGCTCCGCCACGGGCATGCCCGCGCCGCGCTGCAAGGGGGGTGTTAGGCAGGAGGAAGGCCGGTGTGGAAAGGGAAATGAAGTGCAGCAGGTCAAGGTGGAAGTGAAGGTACAGGGGGAGGAAGGTCCAGGCCTGGCCTCGCGGATTGACGCCTGGTGGTGCCAGCCCAGGCAGGCAGGGGAGCCACCGCCCCAGAGGGGGGCAGGCCATCCCGCCCGGCTGGGCAGAGCAAGGTGCGGTGCAAAAAGCGCTTTGCTGCGTGGCACACGGCGCAGGCTGGCGCCGACGCACACACGCACCGCACACACCCTCAGCACACATCACAGCGCACACACAGCACCACACACATACACACATGCACACTCACACACACACACCTGGCTGGGGTCGAAGAAGAAAGCGTGCACGGCGCGGCCCAGCGGCGTGGCGAAGGTAGCGGGGGCCTGCAGCCCGCAGGCATCAGGGGGGAGGGCAGGCGGCAGGGGTGGCGTGTGCGGCACGGCGGGACGTGGCGGGCGCGGCGGGGAGAGCAGGGGGTGCTCAGCAGCACAGCCAGGCAGAGCCACACGCCACCACCACACTCTCCCCCCTGCCCCCCTCACCACCCACCTCTGGCTCCCCCAGCGGCACGCGCTTGGCCAGCACTGGTGCCTCGCCCTCGCCGTCAGACCCGGCGCCGCCTCCTTTCTTCCCCGCCTCCTGCTCCGCCCGCACCTGCGCGGCGCGGCGCGGCGGCAGGCCACGCATCAGCCCTTTTTTCGGCACCACACAACGCAGGCGCCAGCAGGCGTGGGGTCGCCACCCCAGCCAGCAGCCCATCCCATGCACCTAAACCCATCACATGCCCCGCCCACACGCGCCGCCCGCACCCTCAGGCCACGGGCAGGTAACCCTGACTGCAAAGCAACCTGTAAGGGACACCCAGGCCCTGACAGGCGCAAGCCCTCATCTCCACCTTTAGTCACCCCCAATCCCCGTGTTACATCCCCACAATTAGTCAAACCATAAACCCACCTTTTGCAGCAGCGCAAAGTCCAGGCCCTTCACCAGGTGCGTGTGCGCCACGTCACCGCCCAGGTACTTGGAGTCCTCGTAGGATACCCCGCGGAGGTCGCCCTGCGGTACCGTTTGGGCGGAGATGGGCAGTACCGGCCGTGCCACGTCGGCGTGCGCCGGCAGGCCGCCCCACTTCAGCACGCCCCTGCTGCCTGCCTGCCTCCCCCCGGCGGCCCACCCAGTGCCATGCCGGCAATGCCACCAGCAGCCGCACACCCGCTCAGCTTCCCCCACCCCCTCCCCAGCAGCCGCGCCCATGCGGCAGGCCATGCCCCGCTCGGCACCCAGCACAGCTACCCTCCCCCGCGCGAGCCCCCGCAG